GCATTTTGATTGATTTGACTATTTTGATTGAAAATAATCAATAAATATATCACCCTGTTTTAATTCTAGGGTAAACTGGCTGGTTTATGTGGCAATTTTGATAAATTCACTTCAAATGACCTGACTACATCCAGCAACATGGAAGTAAGAAACGCTCAAGTCTTTGGAGAGAGCTGGGAAATAGGACAGGTAAGCATGATATATCCATTCATTTTTAAAATAAACAGGCAACTGGTGGTGAGGGTGTAAGAAATGTAGAGGCAGCATTACCATTAAACCAGCAACTAGTAGGCCATCAATTTGACAGGTTCTGGGTGTGGTAGTTCCCTGTCCTATCGCCAACCATTTCTCATACTTCTGCACATTCACCTTATTTCCACTGTTCCACATGGTTGCCATGTGGAGCGAGCAAATATGAATGGAGATGCAATGCATCTTGGCCCCATGGAAGCTGATGGGACTGCAGCTTCCATCAAGGAAGGAATTTGTATATTCCAGCCACATCAGGAGGGCCCCAGGCTAACCACCCCTACTCTAGTACCTAGAAAGGCTTTTGTTTCATTGGCACAAGACAAAGAGGATGACACAGTGAAACCCGTTAAGAGTTTCTGTTTGTGTATATGATACACAAAAGTGCTTACATTTACTGTGCTATAGGCCAAACAGTTTGTATGACAATGTTTAAAATTTATTTCCTGCTTTGTTTCCCCCCCCTACCAGACTGTAGTCACGTAGCTCAATGTAACATCTCCTATTTTGCTGAAGCACAGCTGCTTGAGAGCATGCAGGCATTTCTTCCCCATGACTTCCCGCCTTTGCTGTTGAAATTGAAAAGTGCAATGACCTTCGTCCCCCTGCTCCTGTGCTGCCACATCAGATTACAAATGCTCTGACTAATTTTCCATCCTCTGCTTTCTCTCACCATCTTTACTGCTCCATCTGAGGGCTGCTTCATATAAGATTATTCCCTACATGAATGCCACTAATAGATTTTTAAAAAACCTGTGTATAATGCATGTACTTCGGCAACATCTGACAAATATGCACACATCTGTTTTAATACATGACTAGAAGCAGCAATCTCCAGGGAAGGAGTTGCCTTCTGTATACCCAGGGAAATAAAACACAGACATCTGCAATACATCACAGTGTTTATATGGTATATACATAATAGGTGGTAGTTTTACTCAGATTAGACCAATTGAAATTGATCAACATGTCTAAGGTAGTTCTATTAATTTCAGTGGGTCTACTCTGAGTGAATGGCACCCAATATTTCTGTACAAAATTGTTTTGTGTGTGGCTCTTTGTATATGTTACAGATAACATCTCTCCCACTCTGGTCCCCGCCTTTCCTTAAAAAGCTTGGGAGAGTTGTTGTTTTCCACTAATGTTGATGGTCTTTTGTGGTTTGTGTCCCTCTACTGTCCCTGAATTAATTTATTTCTACTGTTGCTTCTTCATATAAACTTTTTAAATTAATTACAGTTGTTGTTAAAACCATCCATATTAACCCTAAAAAATCATATTCCAAAATGTTAAACTGGCAGTTGCAATTAAATCCTTTTGTCACCTGCAGAATTTAAACTTATTCATTTAAAGTTATGGGCTCTTTGTCCTTATTGCCAGAGCTCTAAAGTTTAAACTAAATGGTACATTGGATAAACAGTGCTCTGTTTATGATTTACAGATGGCTGCTGTGGAAACAGTGATGATGTGCGATAAAGAAAACATGTTGTTTGCCAAAAAGGATGGGTGGGTGGGTGGGGGGAAACATGAGGTTTTTTTTAAAAAACAAAACAATAAAGAAGGATCCATTCTAGCTTAATATTTTCAGCTGTAAGTAAAGTATGAGGTTTAGGAGAAAAGAGAACAAAAACATGGAATGCCAGAGTCTTATTTCAGAGGCTGGGGGCAGATTGGTGGGCATTTCTAAAGGGGTTTGCCGTGAAAAAATGTGTAATGTACCCAAAGTTATTAACAAGTGCTTGTGATTTCAGTGTGCTAGCCCAAATGAGACCATAAAACCATGTGAAGTACATCAGAGCAAGTTCCCTTATGCCAAAAAGGAATGTTCAGTTTTGTACAGTGATGTTTTTGCCCCCTGTCGCAATGTGGTAAGTATATATTTCCTAAGCTATCTAGAAAGCACATCTTTGCTCTGGATCTCTGCTTGCCAAATGTAAGAGTTGCTGTGGCACTAACACCTGGCTCATAACAGACTTAATTAGCCCTGCTGTTAGGCACCTGCTTCAGGCACCAGATGGCAAGGTGCGGAGGGTGATGATCAGTGTCAAGCAATCGTGCTACAGAGCTGTGTGTACCACGCATCCTCCAGTTGCTGCCCTCAGGTGAAGTAGAAGACACTGCCAGAGGTTGAAGTAAGATTCTGCTTCCAATCTGATTTGCTTCTGTATGGGGAGACCGTCTCAGGCAGCAAAGTCCTGGTCCACAAGATGAGCAGCTGCTCATCTGAAGGGCAAACGAGCCAGCACACCACATAATGTTCTCAGGCTCTATTCTAGGAATCTACTTAGCAGATGCTATATGCAAACAAGCCATAGGCTGTTCCTCCATATCCTTTCAGTTTGGACTTAGTAGTCCCCACCTGAAGACTTTGAAATTTGTGGCCTTCTCCTTTCAAGAGCAGCATATCAAAAGCAGGATAGCTCCAAAACATTTTATTGAAAAGCTGTACAGTTCCAAGATATTTGTTGTTTGGGTTTGAAATGTTCCTGTCCTTTTCCTTTCTGGCCAGCAAGCTGCCATCTCACACTCCTTGTCTTATCACTACTGAATTATACATACAATGTATTATTAGCAGGCTGCTATTGGCCCTTGTAAGGGACGCAGGTGGCGCTGTGGGTTAAACCACAGAGCCTAGGACTTGCCGATCAGAAGGTCGCCGGTTCGAATCCCCGTGACGGGGTGAGCTCCCGTTGCTCAGTCCCTGCTCCTGCTAACCTAGCAGTTCGAAAGCACGTCAAAGTGCAAGTAGATAACTAGGTACCGCTCCGGCGGGAAGGTAAACAGTGTTTCCGTGTGCTGCTCTGGTTCGCCAGAAGCGGCTTAGTCATGCTGGCCACATGACCTGGAAGCTGTACGCCGGCTCCCTCGGCCAATAAAGCGAGATGAGCGCCGCAACCCTAGAGTCGGTCACGACTGGACCTAATGATCAGGGGTCCCTTTACCTTTACCTTTATTGGCCCTTGTAATCTGTTGTCAGGTTCCGGTTTCTGTGTCTAGGATTGAATAAAGAAACTGACACAGGGAGATACCAAACTGCACCATGGAACATGGAACAAGGAGGCCTGTATTATCTAGGAAGCATACATGGGGAAGTTACCAGAAGCCCATCACTAACCACCAGTTCCATTTTCCCACTGTTTACTTCCCAAGTTCACATCAGGATTGCCATTATTTTCCTGGGGCATTATTGTAGGCTGCCTTTAAAGCAGGGTGGGGGGGTATATAAATGTACAAAATAAATAAATAGTGTTCTGGACCCAGGAAATTGGGAAAGCACAACTCAAAGGTGATGGTGATATCATGCTAAGATGACAATAAGCAGATGGGATGAGCTGCTGGCTGAATTTGACAGGCATGTTAGTTTCAGCTGCATGGCCAATCATTACAGTAGATGGCAGCATTTGCTTTATAACTGAAGAGCATGGTCGTTCTTTGCTTTTTATAACATTTCTCTTTACAGACAATCTTGCCCCCCACACTTTAATTCAGTGTGAGTTTATGCCATTATTATTGCTGTTCTTAATTGTACTGCTGCTGCTGCTGCTGCTGCTGCTGCTGCTACAACAGTGTTTGAACCACTTTTGGTAGTCAGATTTATTTTATCCACTTCTGGTTTCCATTTAATCTCAAAGCAAATGGCAGACTTCCGCATGCATGCTTTGTTTCTCAAAAGTGCATCATCAGCTAAGCTAGTTTTCTCATAGTTTTTCGGACTTCTAATTTTCATGTTTTCTACCCATTTTTGAGGACAAATGTTAGGTTGACAGGTCTATAATTTCCCAGGTCCTTAAAACAAAAACTGGAGTTAGCTTTCCTGACTACCCATCTTCTATTAAGGAGGCCAGTTTTAATAATATGGTGCACGTTTTTATTAAACAAGCAGGAATTTTGTATTTGAGTTTTTAAAAGAACTCCTGCCTTCCAACCCTGGATAAATGATTATTCTGAATTTGTCAGTTTAACTCTAAAGCTGTACTCTTTGTCGCTTCTTTGTGAGACAGATCTCCTCCTTGAAAATAATAGTTCACCTGTGCCTATTTGTTTAACATATTGTGCTGTGAAGGCTGAAGCAAAGGGTCAATCAAGCTTTTTTTTTTTTTGCAGTTTTCTTGTTCTTATCCAGGGCTTCTTCTGTCTGGCTGGTTTCCTGCTCCTGGTGTCCTTAAATCAATGTTTGCTGCTTGTTTCTACACTTTCAGCAGTATGCCCATTAAATGACTTCTTTACTTGTTTTATCCTTAGGTTTGTGAAAGTTGACTCCTTTTAGAATGACCACCACTCTGTGGTGTACAATTTACCTGGGCCTCTTTCCATAATTGTTTTCAGTAACCTCTCAAGATACTTGAAGTACTTTGACTTTCCACAACAATTTCATTTTAGCAGATCCCCTCATTTCCCTCCTCTGCTACTCCGAATCTGAATTTCTCCGTATTTTTCAGATTGATGTGACATCGTTCGTCAAGAACTGCCATACAGATACTTGCAATTGTAATCTTGGCGGAGACTGTGAATGTCTGTGCACAAGTATTGCAGCTTATGCTCACAAATGCTGCCAGCAGGGTGCAGTAATTCACTGGCGATCTCCATCTCTTTGCCGTACGTATGTTTTGCTATTCATTATGCCATCAAGCATAATCTCTGGAAAGCAGATTATTCCATACTTTCTTTAACTGATTTCTAGTACATCAATGTTTCCTGTGCAAATGCTGGTAACTAGTGGCTTGATACCAGATGTGGTTGCACAGAAGTAATTCAAGGAAAACCAATAGCTGTGCTCCCCTGTGCTGTTCTCCACCAAACAAGCTTAAGGTTCATTAGTAGGAGAATGTAGAGTAGTTAAGCTTCCAAGACTCCAGACACGTCCAAGTAAGATGCACCATGTGGCAGTTTGCCATTCTTAAAAAGAAGTAGTAATTCTGGTCTGAATTTTTACAGATGGACCTTATGTTAAAAGTTGTACCTTTTTACAACTATAAGCAATATTCAGTGTTGGCCATACTTGGAGTAGACCATTGATTTAAATGATAATACCAGATGAAATCCTACCTGAGTGACTATTTGTATATATTATCTGCCTGTGTATACATCATGTTACTTTTGTATTCTACTCTTCTTAAGCTAGCAGTTTATTAGCACTGTTGGCTGCCGCTGCAAAAACCCCCAATAATCAGTGAATGTACAAACACATTTTTAAGGGGTTTTTTGTTGTTGTTCTGCAGTGCAGAAAAGTATATCTCAGAAACTGCAGTTAAGGTTAGGTCTTCAAAAGAGTAACACTAATTTCTTTACTAATAATAGAATCCAAGGAAAATGCAGGTTATAAGTAAAAGAACAGAAGAGTGAGTTTTGTGAATCAGAATTTAGTGCTTGGCTATGTGACCTTGTCTTGTTGTTACTGACAATCACAAATTCTCTAATTATTCTCTGAGTTGTTATGCATGTCATTAAATGTTGTGCCTGTTCCTTCTTTCAGCTTATGACTGTGATTATTACAACCAAGGTACGTAGCATTTCTGTGAGCTTTAAAAATAAATAATAGTAATATATTGGATATATAGATTCTCCCAAAACACTGCTGTAGTAGTGATGGTAGTTCCAAGTATTTATAGACCAGTTTTCATCATAGATGGTCACAAGAAGGTTTATACAACCATCAATAAAAAGAAATCCATCAGTGTTTTGAGTTGCTTGTTTCTCTTGCTATCATTTAACATCTGACTGTCATTTTTCTTCCTCCAGGACTTGGAGAAGGACCATATATTTTGGCCAGCTATGGTCAGAATGACACTGTTATAGGAGTCAATGTCACCAGCAAAAATATCTTTCCTTTGCCAAGAAGCAGTGTCAGTGGGAATGTGTATTTTAATTTTATGTTAACTCCAGGACTTTTCAAAGATAAAATACTATGTGAGTCCTATCTTCAGTATTTCATGTAATTAAATCTCAAGTTTTCAGAGTTGAAAAAATGTTAATCTTTATGTATCAGAGAATACTTTTTCATTATCTTTTACAAAATCTGAGTATATCTATTTGTGATAGACCTGAAGACAAGAGTTGTAAGAGAAACAAAGGCTTTAGTCTTTTCTATCATTAATATTTTTGTTTTATTTATTTTTACTTTATCAGTGTACAAGTCCATTCTCCCTTGATTTAGGAGAAATGCTTGATAGCATCTTAAAGTTAACTGGAAACATCTCAGTTCTTTTTTTTTTAAGTAATCTAAAATAAATGCCTACAATTATCATTTGACTTTCATCATTGAATTTCTAGACTGAGTTGCTCTGAAACATTCAGATGTAGCCATACATTTCAGAAAATATTACTTCTTATAGGTTCCTTGCTGTAGCTCTGTAGGATAAACACCCAGGGTGAACAACGGACTCTTATTTATATTAATCAGATTCAAAGTATCAGGCTGCAAACCTATGCACACTTTCCTGGGAATAGGCACCGGTGAATACCATGGCGTTCAATGAGCCTATCTTTTAAGTAGACATGTATAAGATTGCACTTGATGTTCAGCCATAGTTAATGTAGGCCAAGAACAGGAATATTCACTATGAAAAGAAGCCATTTTAAAATACTGTTAGCAAAATTTTAATGTAACTTTGCCAGGACTAGTTTGCCACTGAACAGATTTTTAACAGAAGTTAAAAAAATGAAGCATTTGATTTTGGTGGTGAAATCTTATTAATATATTGCTGTGGATTTAATTTGTGGTAGCTCCATCTCTGGTTTCGCTTGAGTCTGCTGAAAGACCAAACTACTTTCTATATGTCCACGAAGATGAAAGCATATCCTTAGAACAGTGGGAGGCAAGTTCCTTGTTTCGTAGAAGAGCAACTTTTTTCCATCATCAAGGCCTTTGGATCCCAGGCTACAGTGCATTCGAACTACACAGCAAGAAAGGTTTCTTTATCATACTCAGAGCATCTTCTGTGAAAGTATCAAAGTTTGATGATTCTGAAGAATTCAAACGTTCAAGCAGTTTCAACATAGAGGGTGAGTTGTACATGTTCCCGGGAGCAATGTGTGTGTGTGTCAGGCGTCAGGGAATCCGATCCCCCCCACGGTAGGCTTCCAGGAATAGATAGACAAGGAAGGCTCTTATCAATGTATTTTATTCAATATTCACAGAGAGAGGCTTAGGAATGCTGCCTTTTGGAGTAATGACGTTGCTCCGAGTAATCGTCAACACCTTATGGTGGCTGCTTAGGGCCATTTGCCTCTGAGCCCTTTGCTCTCCTACTTTCAGTGCTTGCCGGGTTCTGGGAGAATGGAGGTCTGGAATGCTTTCTAGTAATAACGTGTCAGCCAGCTGCTCTGTCTCTGCCTCCCCCTCCTCTTCTCCCATTATTTCCCAACTTTGCCCCTCATCTACCTCTGAGCTGTGACCTCATCAAACCACTGTTGTAAATCTATACTGTCTTCCTCTTCTCTGGAAGGTTCAGACTGGGGAGGCGGTCTCCACCATTCCTCCTCTGTCCAGTCCTTGACAGTGTGGAATGCTGTGGATGTATCATTTTCAAGATTTATAATAGCAGCAGTTACATTGTAACTTCAGAATGGACAAATCAGTCAATCTGTGGCCAACCTCAGTTTTTATGTGTTCATTTGCAAGCCCATTCCATTGTGCTTCCATATCTGTGATTTTAGCTTGTTAAGAAAGCACGACAACCACTTTATTTTTTAAACACTTTTTGGTAGATTTTGTTGAGCTGAGAATTGTATTGAGCTGAGAATTGCAATTGTATTGCAAAATTCAGACATGTGTGAAAACTGAACCATAACTCTACACAGGGGTCCATGAATCAGGTCACCCTGAAAGAAACCCTAAAGTATCCTCATTTTGCTGTTACCAGTTTAAAAATTAGGATGAACCTGTTCCATGCAAAGAGATCTCCAGACAGCCTTCAACTGGTGTCAAGATTTCAGATTTCCCCCCAGGCATTTGCTGGCCTTTGTGTCTGCATTGATTTTATGCTGCCTCTTTTGTGCTATGACCTCTGCTTTCATGCTGTTGTTTTATGTTCTACTTTTAATTAGTGTTGTCATGATTTTCACATTTATTATCTTAAGGGTTATTAAGCTAGAAAGACTATTTATAGATTAGATAGATATTCTACTGCACCTATTGTATGGAAATATTCAGCAGTGATCCTAATTTTTCCTCTTATTTGTATCCCACCTTTCAAGTCACAAATCCTTCCAAGGTGACTTACAAGTAACAAAAATACATAACTAGCACAACTGTATTAAAAAATTAACAATTCATTGGGATCCGTCTCACAGGGCAATTTGTTGTTGAATGCCCAGCCTTTGCCTCCCTCCCTCTGTCTTACTCCCTTGATCTAACTTTCCTGTGACACATGTTTCTTCAGTGTTCAAATGGCGAAGAAAAGACCATCTCAAATGATATGCAATAGAAACAGGTGGATATTAATATTATAACAGTCATCTGTTTCTGTTGTATCACTCAGTGTAGACACAATCTGTCTCCAGAAGAAGAATGAAACCAACATGTACAAGGAGGGTGGTGGCACTGGGAACATGTACTCCCTTGTCCTCCATAGAGTGGACTCCTCCTTCAGTTTCCTTGTGGGTGTTCAGATATAGTTAATGTTTACACCCATGTGCCCAATCTGAGGCTTTTGTTGTTTCTCAGAACTCCATACAGCAGTACCTTATAGGAGGATGTGTGAATGGAGATACGAACCTTGTACAAGTCCTTGTGTTAAAACATGCAGTGACCCTGAAGGAGTAGCATGTAAATTTCTTCCACCGTGAGTATAATTAATATTTCATGTAATAATTAACATACTAATCTTGGGATATTATTTTCCACCGTGTTGCCACATTTGCCTGTTTGACCAGTTACGGCTCATTGAGTTCCATATTCAGAAAAATATATATTTCTGAGTAGCATCCTTGGGAGTGAAGTAACATTTGAAGAGGACTTGAGTTCTGCTTACATTAGAAACTTGCTTATATTTTCCACCAGTGTGTTTTTTGAAGTTCCTAGCAATTTTCAGACAATATCTTCCATTGTCATGAGCAAAGGATGCCTTGTTCAGAGCTGGTGTATAGAATTCAAGTATTGAAACAGAGACTAGTTTTCAACCATTTCCATTTTGCGTCATGTATTTTTAATTTTATGGAGCAGCCGTGCAAACTTTAAGCTTCTTGCCTTTTTGAAATGACTACAAAAGAATTGCTGTGTTGTTGTTGTTTTCCTTGAACCTTTTAGGGTTGAAGGATGTTTACCATACTGTCCCAAAGATATGATTCTTGATGAAGTCACACTTAAATGTGTTTATCCAGAAGACTGTAAGTGTCTCCTATATCTTTTGAGTAGATTGTTAGAATACTGTAGTATGTAATGTTTATCAGCAATATAATCCAACATACAAGCCATTTTGATATAAAGTTAGTCTTTGCATCAATAACTTTAAATGTGTTATATTATGCTACAGTAAATTTAAAGGTACAAGTCGCATAGTGCAGCCTATGAAAAATACATTTTTATTGATATATATCTGAAAGTTTAAAATAAGCAAATATATCAATAGCAAACTCAGTTATCTGAGTGTTGCTTCTTATGTAGCCAAAATGGCTTGTACATGGACAGGAGGGAGGGATCAGTCCACTAGGGGAAAGTAGGGGAAATTTTGCATAAGTCCCATAAACATCTTTGTGGTGATGGGGGAACCCTATGGAGGCAAAAATCTTCAAACAGCTCAATGCAGACTAAATGTGCTGAGTAGACATGGACCTCTGACTGTCTTTTGGAAGGTGGGGGATGGAATAGGCATGGATGTTTGGCTGGAATAATGAATTGCACCATCCATCCTGGTTACATTTTATTGCAGGCCCCAGTTGTTTTTATTAATATATTTTCG